CAGGTAGAGAGTTTAAACTCTACAGATAGTCATGTAAAGTAAATTTAATGATCATAGGTAGCCCTTGAACTTGAAATTTTACCTTAGCAAGAAGGCAAGAAAGAATAGAGAGATGCACATACCCTTCCCACCTTCTCACTAGAGACTTGATTCTCCACTGAACTTCTCAAAAGGAAATAGTGTTCTTCTCAGAACACTATTGTCAAAAAGAATGTATTGTATATAAAAAGAAGACCTCAAGACATAAAATATATTAAACTATAAGTTTCCTGAGTACCTAACACGGATATTCACAATCCATGTGTTGGTAATAAATATGCTGGAGACTTTGGGTAAGTTACTTAAATTTTCTGTGTCTCAGTTTTGTCACTCATTCATTCAGCATTTGTTTCATGAACCTACCACAATGGGAAGAAATATTAGAAATCATCATAAGCTTAGAGCCTACTGAGCTGTCACCTTTAAGTGAGGTAACACTAATAAAATGTGGAGGCAGAGACTGCTAATGCTTTGCAACAAGTATGACTCCTCTTCTTCCAAGGCACGCAGCTAGACTACATTTCCCAGACTCCCTAGCTGTTAGATATGGTCACGTGATTTCATTTTGGCCAATGAAATATAAGCAAAAGTAATAAGTACCATTACTGGATTGGCCCCATCAGCCAGCTGATGGAGAGAAATCTGAGAACTAAGAGGAAGACATCCTGACAAGATGGAAAGAGTCTGGGTCCATGAATGATGGCATGGAGTCGGGCCCCTGTCCATCTGAAGTGCACTGTGTTAAGGGCAATGAATAAGCTGTTGTTAAGTTAAACCACTGATATTTGGGGTTTGTTACAGCAGTTACATTACTTTAATACAAATCCTTAGCAATGTTGACCCACTGCAAGCACTAAATCAATGATATGTTTACGTTTTAAAATAAATTCTTAGTTCTCTTACTATATTTTTTATAAGACCAAAGAGGAAGGAAGGAAGGAAGGAAGGAAGGAAGGAAGGAAGGAAGGAAGGGAGGAAGGAAATAATACTGAGGCATTGTAAATAGCTCTTTATAAATTTGCCATTTGATCATCCACAATTCCTAGGGAAATATTTTCCAAATGCCATATTTTCTCCACAACCAAATGAAATTTCTGTGTGGATTTGTGGTGCCAGGGCCTCCTTCCTACTATCCCGGGCTGCAGCTGTCCCTCAGCTTGACAACCTCCCTCACATCAGATCCTCACAGCACCTGCTTTGGATGGGGGCCCAGTGACAGGGATAGGGGAAGCACTTTGCCACGATTTCACCAAAGCCAATGATAGCACTGGATGACATGGTCATGTGCACTATATGGTCTGCTCGCAGGCCGAGATCACTGGGCAGGGAAAGACACATCATCAAGCTCTGGGTATGCTCTATTTACACGTATAACTCAGCCAGTCCCTGGAAAACAAGTGATCTCAAATATTCTAGGAAACAAAATGCACCTTTACTTGCTAATTAACAAAAGTCAGCTTTTCTTCTTTATGTTTTTAAGATTACAGATGTAATACATGTTTGTTGTAGCAAGTTGAATATGCACAGGTAGAAAGAGAACATTTTCCTTTTCCTTTCTTCTTCTACATTATCCCTGCCCCCTGGGTAATCAGGGTATTTCATCTTCAGACAAACCAATGCACGTTTTTTAGGGTTAACCCTCCACTCTGACATTTTTTTTCCTAACATAAACGGGATTATACAATATGCATTTCCATTCAAATTGCTTTATTTAACCTAACAACTTATTATGAATATCCTCCCAAGTGAGTATATTTAACTCCAATATATTCTTTGAAAATAACTGAATAACATTACCTGGGAGAAAAAACTATTTGCTGAATTACAAGATATCAACAATTTTAAGAGTTAGTAATTGTTGATTTTTTTTTTTTAGAGGGAAGTGAAATGTTAAATAGACCGACTTATAGTAGGAAACCTTCTGACTTAACATGGGCAAACATGTACAGGAAATATATGTCTAAATATTATACACATTGGAAATATAGAGAAGCTAGGGACTTGTGGCAATCTCAGTGTCATGGTAACCACAATCTCTGAGGGTGTGCCTGAAGCAAGTTTCTGTGTGGGAAACAAGGTTCTTGACTAAATCTTGGTACTAGGAGCACCTCACCCCTCACGGTGGCATCCTCCCCTCTAGGGAATGGCTTGGCCTGACCTGACATTTGGCATCTCTCCTACTTTTTTGCATGCAGAGTTAACTTGATACTTCTGGGATCTGGCTGATGGAGGGAAGGAGGGGGAAAGGAAGGGAGAAGAGGGAAGGGAAAAGATGCTGCAGGCATTAACATGCAAATCACACACCCTCCTTTTATTCTCTGGGCTGAGGTCAGATGGAATTAATCAACTCAGCCTCTGCATGCAAAGTCCTTCTCTGTCCAAGTGTGCACTGACCACTTAAAATCAACAGTTAGAGTCAGCAGGAGCAAAAGAGAACCAAAGAACCTCTTTGAGCAGTAAGTCACTGCTCCAAGGAACCCGTAGCTGTGGGGGTTCTCTGCGTGTTCTCAGGGTATTCACATTGTAGGTGGGAGCAGCCAGTCTCAACTCTTTGAGGTCCAAGAATACATACTGCTACTAGAAAATGCCACTTTTGATCATCTGCTGCATAGGTCTCTTCCAGACCTAAACTGTGCACTTAATATATATAGCCTCCTGCAGGCCCCCTACTGGGGATTGAGCCCGCAACCCAGGCATGTGCCCTTGACTGGAATCGAACCTGGGGCCCTTCAGTACGCAGGCCGATGCTCTATCCACTGAACCAAACTGACTAGGGCCTTCCTGGATCCTTTGAGGTAGGTATTATCTGCATGCTACAGATAAGGAAGCCGAGGCTCAGAGAGATTCTGTGGTTTGTCTAAGACCACACAGTTTTAGGGTATAAGCAGCATGGAAGTGTGCTTCCTCATTTAGCCACCAGCCTGGCATTAACTGCAGGTGTTCCCAGATGTCTGAAGTTACCCTGCAGGTGCCCTGGCCTCCTGCACCAGCTGTGCCGTCCATGGATTCATCTTTCAAGATGTGGACCCTAGTTGGGCCCTGCAGAACACAGCTAAATAGCTCTGCTATAACCCAAAGAGACACTCAAAGTCTTCGTTCAAACTCCCTCAAGTCTGTAAATACAGGGCCTTTCAAGTCCACTCAGGCGTTCTGACCATAATGAAAAGCTTTCACACATAACAGAGTCCTAAAGATCATCCCACTCAGACCCTCATTCTATAGATGAGGAGACAGGGAGACACATCCAGCTGGTGGTGGAAGTTGGGGTGGGTGACAGGTGATGGTGGTGGAGCAGTGACAGCAGGGGCTACATAAAGGACTAGAGCAGGGTTCACAAATCATGGCCTGTAAGGTGACCGAGCCCTCCATCTGACTTGGTAAATATGGTTTTATGGGAACACAGACACGCACTTTTTTATGGATTGTCTATCGCTGGCTTCTCCCTCCATCAGAGTGGAGTAATTGCCACAAAGACTGTAACGTACTCAACGTCTAAATAGTTACTATTTGGCCCTTTCAAAATATGTTTGCTAACCCCTGGAAAAGACAGCGACACACAGGTTGATTTGAGTTATTGGTAACTTTCCAGTTCTTAGAGTGAGTGTTAAGTTCACAGGTATTTGTTATGTTGTGATGAATTAATGACGAAGGCTACATATGGGCCATCAATAGTCATGTATCACCAAGGAATGATGATTATCAAATTCTCTGCCCCTGAAAATAGACCAGATGGGGGGAAGGAAGAGAGGAAGGATGGGACCATTTATCCCGTATTAATATTTTAATGGCTCCTTGTTGCTTACACCTGACTTTCCCCCATTGTATCTCCCATGCTCCAAGGTGTAGGAGGACAAAAGGTGGCAGCCCAGTAAAGCATGTTTTTCAGGAAGGGTCACGGTGAGCACGTTGGGTTCCCTGAGACAGGAGGGGATTGGCTGAAGACGAGGCTATTAGGGACAGTCACAGTCCAGTTTTTCCACTTCATTCACAGGGGGCCTCTTCCCTGGGTACCACAGGAGTGGCCTGAGGGGGCAGGGCTCCGGGTCTGTTGTCAGGACCTCCCTCTACCTGTCAAGTCAAGGTTGGCCTTTGAAAGGCAGCAGCATGACGGTCCTGGCACACATCCTCTTGAGTAATTGTGAACGTGTATGAAGGCGCTCTGAGCCATGACACGAGGACCACTGCTCTCCCCATGTCACAGATGAGGCTACGGGGCTCTTGGTGCACAAGTCACTTGCCCAGAGACATAGAGCTGGTGAAGGATGAAACCAAACTCAAATCCAGAATCATCTGACTCCAAATCCCACATTCCGCAGCCCCATGACACTGGCCGAGGCCAGGGAGTCCAGGCCGCCTCAAGAAAAGCACGTTTTCACCATTCCAAGTAGTCGCCGTGCCTCCCAGAGCATTTCAGCATGTTGAAGGGCAGCTCGGGCCATCCCCACCCCAGCAAATGTCAGGGGATTTGCACATTCAAAGAAACGTTCCGGTCCCTGTGGGAAAGTTCCCAACAGCTTCCATTAGACAACAGTCACAGTTCATTGACCCCCCCCCGCCCCCCCCCCCTGAAGCTCACAGGGGCGGTTTTATTGTTTTATAGGTGAAAAATCAGGGAAACGTTGAAAGATTGAGAAGTATTTCCAAAGTCACGTGAACCAAAAGGTCAATCCAATGGGGGTGGAGGCGGTAGGAGGGGGAGGTAGGGAGCAGGCAGAGAAGCAGCTGAGAAGTATTTGTGGCACCAGGGAGAATAGACTGTGATGTGCACGAAAGGAAACCGTGGCTATGAATTTCAGGGCATCAAGGCCCTGTCAACACAGCTAATCCCCACGGATGTTGGCTGAATAAGCCTCCGATGACCAAACAAGTGCACTGTGGAAACTGTGTCAGCCTCCAGCAGGCCAATTTGTCCTCATATTACACACTCTGCTGGCTCCGTTGCCAGACCCCCAGCTCGAGGATCCATGGTGAGCGTCCCCCAACCCGCCGAGGGTTGACACAGCACAGTTACTAAGTCAACAGAATTCAGAAACCACGACCGGATTAAGCAGGCGGTTTTATTTTGGTGCCCTGGACTTCAAGCAGATTAACTAATCAAAAAGCCCGAGCCACCGGGGTCATGTCTGAATGCTACAGCTGTTCGCCGAGTTGACAAACGTCCTCTCTGTGGCTCGTCATCTGAATGGGACAGGCAGCGATGATCTTGGGGAGGTCGACACTTTCAGAAAGGAGAGGGGCGCAGTCCAAAGACCCCGTAATGGAAAACAATCCCAGCCAGATGGAGACAGGGAGAGGACTGCTTGAATAAGGGTCTCCTGAAAGCCACCACTGTTTCTGCATTGAAGAAAGCACAAGCAGGCAGCAGGAAAAGCGGATGAAAAGCTGGACTGCGAGTTGGCCATGCTCTCGGCATGTTGATCTGCTAATTAATAGAAGGGCTGCGGGTTCAACACGGACGCCTGTCGTCATGAAAGGTGAGCCACGCTGCGCCCCTCCCCTCGCCCCTTAGAGAAGTCCCCTAGGGAGGAGTGGGATCCCCTGCAAAAGGTGTCCGTGGGAAACCTAGTTTCAAGTTGTCTGTCTCTAAAGACCAAACAGATCAAACAGATGTCTCTGAGGGAGAATGTATGTGCGCCACGCTGGGTCAGAGGCAGGCATGGGGACGAATGTGCCCAGCCGTGATCAGACATGCAGTTGGCATGTCATTGGCCTTTTCATACAAAACACCATGCTTCAAGTTAGAGTCCATAGATCACCCCCTTTGGAGGAGGGTGGAGTGGGACAAAAGAAAGAATGAACAAACTGGCTGCAAGCTTGGAAAGACAAGCCTTTCGTTAATAGATTAGTGGATGCTGTGGAAAACATGTTCTCTTGCTGAAGATTTGGTTTCCTACAACCAATTAATGCCTGAGACCCACAGCTAAAGTGTAAAGTGTTGACTAATCTCTGATGGAAAGATGTTTGGCTGTGAAAGAAATCATTTAGATTATTTGCAAAATTTAGAAAGGAAAATGAGGATTTTGCTCTTTTCTGTTTTGGAAGAGGGAAGGGGCTGTGATGTCCTGCATCCCCTGAGCTCAACTACACTGAGCAGAACCTCCCCAGACACCTTTCCTTTGCCCCAAAGCACTGCTCACATCCGGAGAGAATTCAAGGGCCAGGCTCCAGCGCATTTGACAGCCAGGCTTTATTTTCCATAGTTAAGGCCAAAAACAAACAAACAAACAAACAAACCTCTTTCAAGATCCTTTTTTATGAGTAGGTAATTATTTTGAGTTTTCGATATTATTGTATGGCCTTGTGAATTCCTCTACCAATTGAACAAAATGTCTTTGTCAGATATTTTCCCTATTTTGAAATTCAAATCTCAGGAGAAAAGAAGGGATGATACAGCTACTGTGGAGAAGAATCTTGCAGTATCTAGAAAACTCCCATCCTCGGAACCTTCCGGTTGATTCCAGAGACCCTCTTCCACATTTTTTCGTGGCCACGTTCCTCACAGCCAGGGAGCTCGGTGCAGAAATGCTCTTTGCAGCATCATTTCTAATGAGAGAAAACTTCAACGACTCAAATGCTCCTCAGTAAGGGAGGAGTTAAATGGTAAATGACATGGCCCCACCATGGAATATTGTACAGCAGTTAAAAGAAATGAATTAGCGCTCTATGTATCTATATGAATAGATCAGTTTTGAGTGACTAGAGTAAAATGCAGAATGAAACATGCTGATGGTTATATTTATGTAGGTTATTATATAAACCACTATAAAAACAGTATTATTTATGTGCTTGTTCGTGTGTGTGTGTGTGTGTAAAAGTATTTGACAGGCAGCAAAGCACAGCAGGTAAGAACCCTGACAGGCTCTGGAAGCAGACCTCTTGGGTTGAAATCATGACTCTACTACTTATATGTGTGACCTTGGGCAGTGATTCGAAGCTATTCTTGAAGCTATAGTCTGTGCCTCAGTTGCCTCACCTTCAAAATGGGGATAATAGTAGAACCAGATTTACAAGGTTAAGAGGAATATATATATTTTGGCTGGGTGGGGTCCAGCCGGCCCGCCCTGATTGGGGGCCAATCGAGGCCGGGCCAGCTGTGGGGAGGGGATGTGGGAGGTTGGCCGGCCAGCTCCACCCCCAATTGGGATGGGGGGCGGCGATCGGGGCCGCAGTGCGCATCAAAGCAACCGGTCATTCCGGCATTCTGATGGCTTGACTTTTATATATATAGATGCTAGGGCTATTATTATTTTTCAATATATATATATATTTTTATTTCAGAGAGGAAAGGAGAGGGAGAGAGAAATAGAAACATCAATGATGGGAGAGAATCATTAATCAGCTGCCTCCTGCACTGGAAATCACACCATAACCTCCTGGTTCCTAGGTCGCCATTCGATCACTGAGCCACACCAGCCAGTCTGTAGGAACGCGTTAGACCTGCCCTATCCAATATGCTACCCACTGGCACCATGTGGCTAGTTACATTTAGATTCATTAAAATTAAATGCAAATAAGAATTCAGTTCCTGAGCTACCTTTGTCACCTTTCAGAGCTCAGTAGCCACACACAGCCAGTGGCTACCATACTGGACAGCAGATGTAGGGTGTTTCCAGTCCACAGAGAGTTCTAATGGCTCGCACTGATGGGGCACACTTTTTAGAAATGTGACTACCTGAACTCCGATCACCTGTCACACTCTGGCCCGGGTGATTTTGCTGTTCCCTACCAGGGCACGTGCCTCAGAAAGATGTTTTCACCTTCCTATTCAACATCCTAAAGTCTTCCATGTTCTGATTTCTGAGCCACTGAGAAAGTGTCTTTTCCAAGGCTTCTGACAATGTGAGCACAGAGGGTGCAGTAGGTATTGGCACTGTGGATGCATCCAGTCTATGAAAGGTGGTGCAAGGTGTTGGCTGGCTCAGAACCGCATTGCCTGTGCTCCTAGGGGAGGAAATGACAGCACCACTGACAAGCTGGTTCCTATCCCACTTCCTTTCTGTTTGTCCTAGGTGAGCTGCTCCTGCTCTCCAGTGTGGTTTTCCTGCTCCGGGTGGCTTGCGGCTGCCCTGAGGAGTGCCGTTGTCAAGCGTCCTTGAATTCTGTAGACTGCAGCCGCCAGGGTCTGGCTGAAATCCCTCCCGATCTGCCTCCTCAGACTCTAACGCTGCATTTACAAGATAACCAGATACACCAGCTCTCCGCTTCTGCATTTAGGTCAGTGCCACAGCTCACGACCTTGAACTTGGGCAACAATTCACTTTCCATCCTGGCCCCCGGAGCTTTCCATGGACTTCAGCACTTGCGGGTCTTAAACCTGACCCGGAACTCCCTACATTCCTTGGAAAGTGGACTTTTCCATTCCCTCCCTCAGCTGAGGGAGCTTGATGTGTCCTCCAACAACATCAGCCACCTTCCAGCCTCCTTGGGTGAGCGCTGGGAGAACCTAACCCTGTTTGCGGTCCAACAAAACCAGCTTCAGCAGCTGGATCGGGTGCTCCTAGAATCCATGTCCAGCGTGAAGCGCCTCTTTCTCAAGGACAACCTCTGGAAATGCAACTGCCACTTGCTGGGTCTCAAACTCTGGTTGGAGAAATTTATTTATAAAGGTGAGTAACGTCTGTTTGGAAAGCCCGTCTGTGTGTTACTCGCCTGGGATGAACCTCATCTGTTCTCTGCATTAGAGAGGACCTTGAGGGGTCCACGAGGGGCCCGTAGTAGCTTTGTCCTCATCGGTGTCACGTCACAGTATGGCAGAGACGTGAGTCATTAAAAGGTGTTCACATTCGGGTTTTTAAAGTCATTTTACAAATCCGGTTCATGGAGATAACTTTCCACTTTTTGAATGATAACAGCATTTAATTATTTATCAGGAAACTGTAGGCCCTTAAGAAGGAGGGAAATTTGGTCTCCACCTGAAAAACTGCTGAACTCCAAACTGGAATCAAATTCAGTTTTCAAATGTGATCCACCTGTGGCCTGGTATCTGTCCCTGGGACATTCCCCTGTGTCTGGACTCCACCCACCCACAGCTACAAACCCTCCCTCAGGTGATCCCTCTGCCTTAGCAAGTACCAGTTACTGAAGTTGGGTGCAACAGGGCCCCCCTCTAAAGTGACTATTTCTTTAACCAGATGTCGAAATCAAAGCAAGAGATCCTGGAATATTAAAGATGAGGGGATCTGGAAGTCCCCCAGGGGTCAGTGAGCAACAGCCCGAAGGCCAAATGCAGCCCCCCCCCCCACCCTCCCCCCCACCCCCGTTTTGGTAAAGATAGACTTATTAGAACACACCCATGTCCATTTGTTATTTATTCTTTGTGGCTGTTTTGCACTTGAAAATAGTTTTGACAGGATATATACAGCAAAGCTTACCATATTTGCTATTGGCCCTTTATAGAAAAGTTTGTCAGTACCAGCTTGTAACCAATGGGAAACGGAGGCCCAGAGAGGCTAGGCAACTTGCCCAAGATGACAGAGTGGACACTCAGAAGAGAATAGAACGAATGGCCCTAGGTCCTCCCTCTACATCACAGTGGTTCATTTATTCAGCCCTATATTTGAGTGCCTCTTACATGCCTGGCACTTTTCTAGGCACCAAGAAAAGGCAATTGAACAAGAAAATCCCTAATATCATGGAGTTTATGACCTGGTAATAGGAACAGATGGTAAATAAGATAACAAATATCCATGTTCAGAAAGCAGTTAGTGCTAGGGAAACTGAGGCAGGGGAAGGGGAGGGAGGAGTAGGAAGGCCAGGAAGGCCTCTCCAAGGAGGAGACACGGGCCAGCAGAACCTGCTCAGGAGGCAGGAGCCATGAGCTAAGTGGAGGAAAGGAAGCAGTGCAGAGGGCCTGGCCGGGAGGGGGCGTAGCTTAACTAAGGACAAAACAGTGCCTGGAGCAGAGGAAGGGAGTGAGAGAGACGACAGAGATAAGATAACATAAATACTCAGGGCCCCGTCCTGGAGGAACCTGAAGAGCAGGAAGAGGCCTTTGGATTTTATTTTAGGCGAGATAAAAATTTCCTGAATTTTCCTTAGAGGGACAATGTGATCTGATTATAGTTTAAAAGGTCACTCTGTGGACTCCAGGGAGAGCTGATCGAAGCCTACCCAAGAAGAAGCAGGGGAATGAGGGAGAAGTCATCAGTCATCCAAGGAAGAGGTGGAGGTGGCCCAGACCAGGCTGGTGAGAAGTAATCAACGTTGGGAGATGTTTGAAATACTGAACTGAAAGAAATTGCTAATAGGTTGGACTGAAAGATGAAGGAGAGTAATCATGGAAAATTCTAATTTTTGTCCTGCAGGAATAACCAGATACTAGTAAAGGATGCCAATAGCTGATAAGGGCCAGACTGGGGAATGGGGAAGGAGGAAGTGGGTGAGTGTGTGTGAGAGAGAGTAAATAAGACCTCAGTTGGGGGAAGATCAAGTTTGAGATGTCCATTTCATGTCCAGGGAAGGTGTTGCATTGGTGGATGTACGTTTGAGCCTCTCTGATACAGGAAGACAGCAGAGCTGCAGACGTGAATTGGGGAATCAGCAGAGTTGGATGGTGTAGCAGGTTAGAGCACAGATGGAAGCTGGTTAGAGCTCACACTGAGTTCAAGTATACAATGTCGAGTTGAGAATCCCTCTCAACAATATAGAAGCAAACAGCTTATCACTAAGCAGCTAATCTCAGAGTTGACCTACAACAGGGACTACATATGGTGGTAAAAATCTTTCTTATAAGAGGCAAATAAAACTTTACATCTAGAGGTGAAGTGGCTTCAGCTATTGTGTTTTAGACTAAATGGTGAGCATGAGCCAAACCTCCACAAAAAGATAGTTTTTATCAAAGAAGAATATTTCTTGACAAAGAAAGAAGATAGTCCCTAGGTTCAGGACACTAGATGGAACATGGGAGGGATTGACGCTCTGCCACAAACTTGCTGGTGATCATTGGACAGCCGTGCCCCTCACCAGCTCTCAGGGTCACCAGGTGGAAACTGACAGTGCTGAGCCAGGAGCTCCTGAGACCTATTCTGGTCCTCTGGTTCCATGACTCAGTTCAATGCCCCCTCACGGCAGAGCTGCCTAGTACAGACAACAGCCTTTCTGTAGAAGGTGAAATTGATTTGGGGGTCACAAGATCTGGGGGACCCAAAATAACTAGGAACCCCCCATTCCCAATAGATGCTAGATGTAGGAGACAATCTGACTACTGACTTATTGAATAAAGGTAAAACAAAGGGCTAGTACAGGTCAAGACCTGCTTTACAAAGATGCATAAATAGATACAAACCCTAGAAGTGTTAGTCAGGACAGGCTGATTGATTGACAACTATCTCAGTGATGCACACAATAAAAGGCACTCGTGTCAGGGTCCAAGGGAGTTGGGGGAGGGGCTGGGGTCGGTGCAGTCCTTCAGGGACTTAAGCCCCTTCCAGCTGTCCACATTGCCAACTTGACCACGTGGCGGCTAAGGTTAACACCAAATGGGAACAAAGTGCTTGGAGGATTAAGCAGGGGTTTTTGTGGCCTAGAAGTGACATTCGCTGGTTCCAGTGGCCAGAACTCAGTCACACGGCCCCAACCTGACCACAGAGGGTGGGGAAACTTCATCTTCCTGTGGGCCCCAGCCAAAACACATGCTGTGATGAACACTTAATAATGTCTTCTCCACAAAAACATATACATAGAAGTTGTCATTAGTATTCCTCCCTCTCCATTCATAAGTACCAAATCACTTTTATGCTAATAGCTGTCTGTATTAAACATTTACTAGTATTCTGGGCAAGGTACAGTATTGTGCTAAACACTTGATATATGTTATCCAACTTGATATATGTTAGTCCTCAGAGCAGTCTTATGGGGTGAATTTCATTATTTCCCCCTCCCACTTTCCAGATGAGCAAGCAGAGCACAGAATGGTCAAGTAATTTTCTTAAAATTGCACAGCTAAGTGATGGTCAGACTCAAGATTTAAATCAAATTTCTTCCAAGACAGTGGTTAAGAGCTCCAGTGGCCAGATGGGGAATAACGAGTGCTTGGCAAGCTGGAGCTTCTTGCCTTGTCAGCTTCCATGAGTCTAGAGCAGTGATGGCGAACCTATGACACGCATGTCAGAGGTGACACGCGAACTCATTTTTTTGGTTGATTTTTCTTTGTTAAATGGCATTTAAATATATAAAATAAATATCAAAAATATAAATCTTTGTTTTACTATGGTTGCAAATATCAAAAAATTTCTATATGCGACACGGCACCAGAGTTAAGTTAGGGTTTTTCAAAATGCTGACAGGCCGAGTTCAAAAGGTTCACCATCACTGGTCTAGAGGGTGTGGGACCCACAACCTGTCAGCAGACATGCCTCCTGGGGTGGAAGGCTGGCACGTGACTCTGGGCCGAGGACACAGGTGCATAGGAGGCCATGGAGCTCTTGGTGGCCACAACCTCTGCCTTCCAGCCATGTCCTGGGCTGTAGTGTGTGTATTTCCTCGTCCTGGGGTCCCCAGGCCATGCCCCGCACTCTAATATTGAGTATCAGGAAGCCTGGAACCAGGGAAAGACAGTGCTTAAGCCTGGAGTGACTGGGTGAGCCACCTGGTCTCAGAGAAGCCAGCTGCTGGGCTGCAGGTCCCATGGCAGACGGGCCTTCATCCCCTGATGGAAGTCCCAGTGCTCTTTGGCCAGGTTGCATGCCATTACTTCTTCTCAAAGCCCCACACCCCATTTCTCTCTCTCTGGCCTTCTGCCTTGCAACAAACCTCAGGGCACGGCATACAATGGTGCATGAGGCAGGGATCCTTAATCACGGCACGGCCTGGCAGCACCCTGGGCTCCTCTGGAGCAGCCACCCTGCACCCCTGGCCTCCTACACATCTGCTCAGAAAGGAGGACATACCTCTGTCACCTGTTTGCTTTTGAGTTGGGGCTCTTGGCTCAGGGGGTTACTGATGAAGCCAGGGGGGCCCAGGAGGCTAGCAGTTTCAGATTCAGTTTCAAGCAGCGGTAGCAAAAGAGGTGTGGGGTGAATTTTGTCAAAGCCTCTAACCCCGATATGACCTGGGCCAGATAACCCTTGCATTGCAGAATGGCCCCATCTACTAACGGGGCCACGTAGGACTCGGCTTATAAGGCTTAGATAGAATGGATGTGAGAGAAGGCGTTCCCCAAGCTCTGCAGTGCCATGAAAGGGAAGGTTCCACTCCCACTGAAGTGACCACCTCCCATGTGTGACTTTCCGGAGTTATTTCATAGTTCACCTGTGGTACGCACAAAGAACCTGCCGTCTCATTTGGCTGAGAGTGGTGTCCGGCTTCACAGCCAACCATGGGGTGGAGCAGGAGAGTTCAGGGCAGCCAGGGGAACGGAGGCACTGGTCATAGGGGTAGGGCACTGCCCCGACAAAGAAAGGCTTTACTGAGGGTCATTGTGTAACCTTGGGACGTGCCAGGAAGGAGGAAATAGAGAGAGGGGAGGAAGCAGAAACAGACGCCGAGTATAGTGGGGAAATCCAGGATCAAGGGAGTGAGCTGGGTTTGGATGTTCTGTCCCCTTATGACCTGGGTGACCTTGGACAAGAATTACCATTGTAGCGGAGTTGTGAGGACTAATCTAACAGTGCTTCACAAACTATAGAGTTGGATACAAATAGATATTTTTATCACGAAAGTTGCAGTCAGAGATGTTTATTCGACCGAGGTCACATAGTAAATTGGTGATCAAACTTGGCTGGAAGGAACCTGTGAGCCCAGTGCTCTTTCTAGAAAAGAATTACTAGGCACGTAGTCTACATATCTCAGGAAATCAGTCACCTTACAGAGAATAGAAACTGAGTCTAAAAGCCATTGGAAAGTTCCATACTCCACGTTCTAAATGTTTCAAAGCACAAAGAGACATGTTAATGGCACGTAATCCCATGAACTTAACTAATGTAACTGCCAAATCGTCAGATATGCACAACACTCAAAGACCACGACCTCCCATTTGGCAACATTGAAGAGTGTTGCCAGACACATAGGGTCTTTGTAATGAACACATAACGTCACAATAAAGGATGTTTGTTTTATTTTTTGTTTTAAGATGTGCAATGGGAGCTTGGACAATAGGTTTGTTTGTGTAGAGCGCTTTATTAGGGGCGTGAGTGCCCTCAGGTTGGCCTCCAGCGCCCCTTCTTGTCAGCTCCGCATCGCTTTGCCCTCGGCGTTTTATTAGGCAAAGGTGACCTGGCTTCTAATGAACTCTTGGTCAGACATAATTGCCAATTTAGTGTGGCGTGTTTAGCATTTGGCCAATTTAGAAATCCTAAAATCATAAAATGTAATTGTTAAGTTCTTTGACTTCAGGGGGGGGGAAAGGTGCTTTATAAATTCCATCTGCCTAACTTTTCGCAGGTTGAGGCTTTTGGAATTCAATTGTGTCAGGCTCTGTTATCATCCTTTGCTTTTGCTTTTTTTTTTTTTTTAAGGGGGAGTCATGGACAGTGTCGTCTGTGTGTCACCAGACACCTGGAAGGGAAAGGACCTCCTTAAAATCCCTCACGAGCTGTACCAGCCCTGCCTTTCGCCCTCTCCAGATCTGGAGTCCTGGCAGGGGCAGCTGCTGGGTCCTGCCCAGCAGGCTGTCCTGAGGTCTCCTGAGAGCCACAGTGTGGAGGAGCAAGACCAGTCAGAGTGTGAGCTCAAACCCAAGCCCAGGCCCACCAATCTGCGTCGCGCCTTGGTCACTGTCATCATCGCCGGGGTTTTGTCCGGGATCCTGTGTCTCATGATGCTGGTGGCCACCATCTATGGCTGCACCTATGCAGCTATTACAGCCCATTACCGGGAGGCACCCTTGGATCAAACCCTCGAGCCTGCGAAGACGGAAGGAAAAGAGCTGCTTGACAGCCCACCGGCTTGAGCGCTTTCGTCTCAAGTAGGAATAATCACTTTAGGCCAGAAGATAGTCTCTGAGGAGGGCTGGTATGTCCACTGTTCCTGCCTCATTTTGCTCTTTCCAAAAGAAAACAAAAAGGATGTGTCTTTAAAAAATATTTCGGAGAAGAAATTTATGTTGAGATTAAAAAAAAATACTGTAGATGAACTAGAAATGATACTTGTGTTCTGTGCCTGAGAAGTTTATTAGACTTATTCTATGTGGGAGAAGGCCAGGCACAGAGGAAGGGGAGCTACCATCTCTTTAAGGTCCTCTTCCCTGCAGGAAGTTGCTTTTACAGAGCACAGAAACGCAAGCACGTGTGCCATTGGCATTCCTAGGAGCTTTACGGTCCATTGGAAAACTGCCCAATTGTGAGCGCCTGGGAAGAGGCTGGTGATCTTACCCAAGGGGCACCAAATGCCTCTATAATTCAAGTTCATGCTAGATTGGTGATACTTTTAGATGTTGTGTATGTTACATATTTAATGGGAGCGTCTGTTGGTTGGGAATTTTGTAGCCTGCCACAAGAGTCAGATTATATTTAATTTTCTAAATTAGAAAACCATTTGGGGCTTTCTAGGCCACAGAGGAAGAAGAGGGTTTCATGTCTGCGTAATGGGACTCGGGCCCAGGGCCTGGAGAAGGTTTAAGATGCGAGGGTAAATAACATATAAACAAACACAAAGAAGACGGGGAGCCGGAATCCGGGGCACATCTCATTGGAAGGCCATATCCACCAGGCGAGTGGAACCTTCCATTTGTAACTCACAGCAGGAATGAATTTAGGGTGGGCTGAGAGCGAGGGAAGGGCTTGTGTGTATCTGCATCCACACCAGAGCGCACAAGTGCGCAGACTTGGACAGCCACACCCACGCGTAAACACACGCGGAGCAATCAGTTTACCCACTAATGAAACGCAGCCGCGGACGGGTGGGAGCCAGCAGCTATTGACCACCACCCAGATTGTCTACTCAACACTCCAGGAGAGGAAGGAAGAAGGAAGTCTGAAGAGAGTGGGAATTATCAAGGGACTGGAGATATGTGGCAGCAGCCACCCTGAACAGCATGTAGGCCGCGGTTTAAAACAATCAGGTGGGGCTTGCTTTACTGCACAGACACGGTCCTGAAGAGTTGCATGCAAAGTGAATTTCTGTAAATTGAATCATCATTTTAATGCAGTAGGGGAGCTCGCTATTTAAAGGAACCTTTCATGGAATCTTACTGTAATGACAATAATGAGCTCCAGATTTATGCATTTTGTAAATTTGCATTTTCTCATGCCAGGTTTTCTTAAAGTGGAATCTACCTGCTCTCTCTCATGATGGCCTGTCTCATACTTAGTCACCTGTTAGTATTAAAAAGAAATCACTTTACACAGAAGAGTGAAAGACACATCAAAAACACACAATAGCAACTAGAGAGCAAGCTATCCCTCCAGAGACCTTGACAGACATTGCTAATCAATCCCAGCACTCTTCCCAGCTGAGCCTCCATGCACCACAGATGCCTTCTTAAGACAGCACTGTAGGCAACCAGAACTAATCAATTGAAGTTGGTTCAAAGGATAAAATACATTTGCCATTCAGGGTCCTGGCTCTACATTCACTCCTTCGGGCCATGGAAAAATTGTTTTCAGTCCTAAATCAGTAGTCCATTCCCTGACCTGAAATGTGAATGGGAGGTCTGAACATGCAGGAGTGGTGACTTGTCTGATGTGGCCAGAGCTCTACCCAGCAGCATAAGGAGCTGAGGAAAGCAGACGATGAACCTACCACAGCCTACCCTGCAGGACACACACCAACCTGTCCCTAATCATCACGGAGGCCATCTACCTACCCCTGCCCACAGTGAAGCTTCACAGCGAGTGTGGGCTTCACGCACACCCACAATCTAATGATGGACCATCTTTTCGAAGCAGCAATTTTGCTAAATGATTTTTCTGGGGGAAAAGTATAAACTTCGATGTTAATTTTCCTGAATATTAAAATAAACCTGGATATGTTAAAGAGTGGATTGAAAAATTAACAAGGATTTTAAGATCAAAAAGAGAAAGCCCAGAGAAAGCCAGCTGTTCCACCCTAGTCCTGGTGCCTCCTTCCGGCTCTGTTGGCAAGGCTGAGCATCCGGTTGAAGGATGTAGTGAAAAAAATCTTCCTTTCTCTTGCCCTGGACTTCGAGTCCTTGGACAAGAAAGCAATATGAGAAAGGAAATTTAGATGATCCTTTTTCATGTCGTCCCCATTTCACCAAATGTTTCCAGAGCTTGCACTATGTACCCGGCATAGTGCGAGGCGTTCTCCTGAGCATCTGTCATGTAATCCTGGCAACCACCCTGGGAGATACTTGAACAGATATTACATAAGCTGGGATCTACTGAGGCCAATAATCCATTTCCTCTCACTGCTGTGATTTCAGACTGTCAGCACACAGGGCTCTGCCAGAGGTTTGGTGATACTGCAGCAGCCGTGTCCCCTGTCCACAGCGATCGCATGGAAAGCATCCAATACACCACAGAAAACCCTGAACGTGGCTAGAGCCCTCACTCGTCAACACCCATGTCCTATTAGATTTCTAAGTACAGATGATAACTCAGGCAAACAGATCCCTGCTTTATAAACAGTCTTTAAGAAAAATGATTAAAATGGTGCATACGTATAGTCAGATTTCTATCTCTTGCCTACAATCACCACAAACGGCAGTTGGCAATGAAAATAATTACTTACCCTGAAATGTCAACAGCTTCTCAGCACAGAAAAATATAAATCAAATTGTTTAGATTAACAAATGCAGAGTTATCATTTGTTAATATGAGAAATGAAATGTTTTAACCGTAAAAAACATCGCAGATGAAAGACCCAATTTGCAGGGTATTCTGCGAGAACCACAAATTATCTTTTGCAACCACTACAGCGCATGAGGGGTAATTTGCAAACGCCTCACAGATTACTTTCAGCTGTCTATTGCCGCTGTCTTGTCATATTCATAGATTCCCCTATAAAGATGGCCTTCCATCAAGAGTCTTGCTGAGGGTACACTGTGAACAAAAAGCACGTTGAGTGTTGACTGTTTCTGAGAAAACCATCTACAATAGAATTTTTTTCACCATATTTAGTGGAACAGTATGATTATAGACTGGCGATTTTTGCTTTGCCAGAAATCACAGATTCATAAGAGCAGGACCCAAAGATGCTTGTAGCTCTCTGAAGTGAGGCCAACAGAAGGGATTATGAAGAATGCACCCTGTCATAGAGATTATGGAGAAAGTAGACCAAGTATCAAATCTATACCGGAAAAGCTTTCAAAATTAAGGCAAAGGTCCCTGTCCCTGGCAGGCAGAATCCTGTGCTTGCAATGATAACACGCCAATGGACAAATGGAGGTTTTCTCTTTCCTTATAAAAATGGAAGACTGAAAAGTGATGCACAGCATCTCCTAAAGATTCATGAAGATCAAATCTCATTACTTGAGTTAACCAAGTTACCCCAGAAATAAGACACTCTTATCTTAAATCCTAAATAACAAAGGAAGTGGCTAAATCCATATAAAATAATTGATCTGGAGCACACATTAATACAATTATAGAACAGTTAGAAAGCTATAACGTTCTGTTGCATATCAGGAAATAAATGTTTCCAGTCTGGTCAAACCCACCAGTGTGTCCATTGCTTAATGCGATTAGACAGAAACCTACCAGCAAATGATATTCCAACCCTACATGGCACGACTGGGTTGTGACGTGCAGCTTCAGGGAACTAGCCTGTTTGCCCTTCTGATGAAAGTGCTTTATTTTTTTAATGCACAGATTGCATTGAGATCTCAAAGAAACCCCCATCCCATTCAAAGAAGCAGCTTCATAATCCACCAGTCTCCTTCAGTGTCCATGCCTACTCTTCACCCTGACAACACTGAATATTCATTTCTATGAATAAGATGTCACCCAATTATAAAGGCCCATAAAGCAGACCCAGGAAAAAACCCCAGAGGACTGGGAATTAGGAAGGTCTGTTGAAAGCATTTAGTCTACATCTGGCAAATTTTGGGATAGCTGTGACTAACCTCCCTACCCATTTCAGACATTGTGAGTAGATGATAGAAAACGTATCTACTGAACCCAGCCAAGGCCTCAGAATCCTTTTAAAACTGTTTTATAGGTACCCTCTACTGATTAATTGAAGTCGACTTATCAGATTAAACCTACTTGCTACCCCCATGTTCTTATTTTATAAACTAGAGGCCTGGTAACAAAATTTGTGCATGAGTAGGGTCCCTAGGTCTGGCCAGCGATCAGGGCCGATCTGAGAGGTGACCTGCAGGGCGATCAGGGGTCCCCGCTGGCACCCACCTTGGCTGGCCTGGCGCTGCCTACTTGCTGGCTCTGTCCCCCACCACTGCTGCCAGTTGCCTCCCACTGTGGGGCAACCAGCTGGGCAATCGGGGGTGGGAGGCCTCCACTGGCACCCACCTTGGCTGGCCTGGGGCCTGCTGGCTGGGGACAGCACCTACGTTGAGCATCTGCCCCCTGGTGGTCAGTGTGCATTATAGTGACCGGTCGTTCCGCCATTCAGTCGATTTGCATATTAGGCTTTTATTATATAGGATGGGAAATAGAAGCATGGAAAAGGAAAGGAACTTTCCCAAAGCCACACAGATAATTAATTACAGGCCTGGTAAATGCAGTTACAGGAGCATGGAGTTAGTATGGATGATTCAACTCACTCCCTGCCATTCTTTATTCATTCTGTGTGAACCACAGTGTCAAGACTATGACATTATTCTATTAATTGTTTGGATGAAGACAATTATGGTACCACCATAAAAATTTACTGAGCATACAATTTTGTGCCAATTGGTTTCCAAGTGTATTACTGTTATTTTCTCTAAGCCTCATATTGACCAAAACATGCAGGCATTTTGTTGCCACATAATAGATGAAGAAACACAACCATTGGGTTTGGGTCACTTATTCAAGGCACTAGTAAGTAATAAGTAGTGGAGTAGGCATTTGGATGCAGATCTTTCTAAGGTCAAACTTTCTGGGCACTTTTTGGAATGTGACAAGTTTGAAGAAGTCAGAGCTGGAACCCTTCCCTGGAACTGCCAGCTCTTAAAACATGGCAGGGAAAAGAAACCCAACCACCAACCAGCATGTCCCTGCCAGAGCTTTGGTCCCACCAACACCCAGAAAGCCAGCCTAAGAAGCCAAGGCAAAATGGGAAAATGAGAGTTTTTCTAGCACATAGACTCTGCTGGGCTGGAAAAGATGTTCTTAGATGGAAGGGGAAGAAACTCAGCTGCACCGTCTTGTATTATTTGAGAAAATAATAAAATAGACACTGGCTGATAAGTAGTGCTTCCAATTGAAGTCTTCATGAGCACACAGAAGGAAAGTTGTGGTGTTATCTGAAATTAGAAATACTGGTCAATGATATCCAAGAGGAATGCCCGCTATGCAAAGCACAGATGTGACCTTCCGGCAGATGAGTGGGATGTAAAGGAAGAGAGTAATAGTCTAAAGTCCTCATCTTTTATGCTGCTATTCCTTCCTCTGGAACATGGCTTCAAAACCAGAGGGAGACCATTCCTCCTACATGTAGAGCATGCAAGGACATTTAACTGTCACCACACCTGCCACCAAGACTTTGCTGTCTTCATCCACTAGACATTCATGTCTCTACAATGTAGCATGTAATAATATGAAAAAAAGAAGAGAGGATAATAAGATATATACAAACTAGGGACTATAGTTTTTATCTACATTGCTTATAAGGAATGAAAACTACAGACTACTCTGGTTTATCTAGGTTAAATAGTCAGACCACCAAGCAACAAGTGGTGGCATCCCTTACCAATCCTTTTGGCTACCAAACAATGCAAAGTCAATACTTTAACAAATTTCAGATCATCTGTTGCAATCCAGGCAATTTTCTAGTACCAATGATGAAGAAGAGAACAAGAAATATAAAGTGTATTCCCCATGGAACTTAGCATCTTGCAGAGGAAGAACTTTAAGAAATTAAAAATATATAAGATGGTGAAAAAACAGGTGTGAGGAGCAGTGAGTTCTGGAGATATGTGAAAGGAAAGGTTTCTACTTTATTTATGGAGAAAAATATTTGAGCAGAGACCTGGGAAAAATGATGAAGCCAGTGATGAAGATATCTGGAGGAAAAATGTCCCAGGGAGAAGGCATAGCAGGCGCAAAGGCCCTGAGATAGAAGCAAGCTCAGTGTGTTTGAAAAGCTATGGCTGTGGTTGAATGGACAAAGGCAGAAGTGGAAGGAGCTGAGGGTAGAGATGACATTCAATGATTCCCATTTCCTGGTATCCATGCCCTGGTTTAATCACTTCTCCTTTTTTTTCTTTTGCCAAAGAAATATAAATGAAGCGATTTGTGTCATTTCAGGGTAGAAGCATTTAATTGCTAGAATAAGGAGCCTGGAATATTGAGTTAACATCTATAGGTATAGGATAACTACCTATGAGAGTCACCTATACCTGTAAGTGTGCTTTTTGAAAGCAAGAGATAAGTTTTCGTTGTATTAAGTTGCAGTTTTTAGCGACCTTTCTTATTGCATGCTAACGCATTCCATCATGATTCACCATCTACTGAACATGAGGGAAAAATGCCTCTACTAATAAAATTTTTTTCATAGCCCATTTCATCAATAAGTATTTTGTTATCAAAATTAAAATAAAATACCTTTATTGCAAGTGAATCTATAATTGATCCAGTATATTATAATCTTTGAATTATCTGTGATTCTTCAATATTGATACTCACATTTAAAGATTTTCTAAGTTCTATTGATGTGAAAAATGGATAGTGGAAAAACTGGAAAACAAAGTTTATGGTTCTAATTCTTGTTCTTTAAGTTGCTAATAGATATTTTGGGGCAAGAGATTTATCACCTATTGCCGGGAGCCGGTCCATCCTTGCTGCTTGACACAGTCGCTGCAGAGAAGAAACATCTGCACAGCATATGTTTCAAGGGACCTGGCGTATATGGCATACTGTTCTTAATATGTTTGCTCCCCTTCTTGGTGCTATGTGTTTTAACCAAGGTCACCTCTCCGAGAAAGGTTGTTTCCCCAGGTAGGAATTTTTCCCTGAAGTTAGGGAGGGAATAAAACCCCTTAACTAAGTGCCAGGCGGGTAGTTAATCACTTTAACTAAGAACAATCACACTTAAGCTACATAATCTTTACTCCCTGGAATGGAGATAAGAAACAACGCCCTAACCTTTGGAATAGAAATTGACAGGATCAACTGGTTGGAATGGAGATAAGAAACAACAACAGAAGACAGAACCTAGTGAGAGAACCTGGCTGAAGAACCTAGAGACAGAACCTAGAGACAGAACTTAGAGACAGAACCTAGAGACAGAACCTAGCAAGAAAACATGGCAAAAGATCCTGGACAGAACCTGACTAGAACCTGGTGACTGAACCTGGCTGGAGAACCTGGACAGAACCTGGCTGGAGAACCTAGCAAGAGAACATGGACACAGAACCTGGCTGGAGATCCTGACCAGAACTTGGCTAGAGATCCTGGCTAGGCTGCTGATCAACTGAACTCTGTCTCCGTGTCATTCCTTCTTCGCCGACTCCGTCCACACCTTTGGGGACCCCTGGACCTGCTGGGGGTGGACCCCAGCAATCTATGTGTCTCTGTTTCTATTTTTTTAAAATGCAAGTTAAGCTATGGTATCTTAAAACAGAATATGGCAAACATGAGAGGATATTACTTCCAAGATTATATTACAAAATATTCTGGCTTCCATCTTGCTCACACTCTCTTGTTTGCTCTGATAGAAGTCAACTAACACACTGTGAACTGCCCTGTGGAGATTTCCATGTGGCAGAGCAGTAAGGGAGGCCGCTGGCCAACAACAGCGAGGAACTAAGTCTAACAACCCAGGAGGAACTGAATCCTGCTGACCTCATGAGTGAAGGTGGAAGCATTTCCTCTGCTTGTTAAGCCTTCAGATGAGACCACAGCCCCCAGCAACACTTCTATTGCAGCCTTCGTGAGAGACCCTGAGCTGCAGGACACAGCTTCCCTGACCTCACGCTTCACCTAGATTCCTGACTCACAAAAACTGTAAGACAGCAAATGTTTGTAGTTGTCAGGTTTTAAATTGTTGAAACAATTTGTTTGACAGCAACAATTAACTAATACACGGACTATTGTGAGGATTTGGGCTTTTAACTCTGGGTAAATTGGGAAGTCAATAGAGTTTTGAACACAGGAGTGACATGATATTACGTATCTTTTAATACAATAGCCACAGCAATTGTATTAAAAGATAGGTAATGAAGAATAGGCTGAGCGGGCCAGAGGTGGAAGAAAGAAGGGGAACAAGTTGGAAGGCCACTGAAACAATTCAAGGGAGAGATAAGGGTGAAGTAGTCCAGCAGGGTAGTATGAGAGGTACCTAGAAATGGTCAGATTCTGCACAAAATTTGAAGAAAGTAACATCGGGATTTACAGATTGGTTGTGGGTAGGAGCAAAAGCGAAGAGTCAAGAATGACTTTAAGATACTGATGTGAACAAAGAGTAAAACACTGAAAATGAGATTTTTTGGGACAATTATGGATTTAAACACTGACTAAGTAATAGGTAATTAGAAATTATTATTTTAGGTGTGG